GCTGGACATGTTTTTGATTTTTTTTTTTCATTTTGAACCATTATAACACAGCTAAAGTTCATCGAAAATGCTGTCGTTTCGTCTAATCCGGATTCTTTATAGCTTAATAGTTATTCGACTGCAAAAATCGAATTCGTTACATAATGCACCTCAAAATTGTTAGATCAATTACATTTTTCTTTTGAAAAACGTAATGTACCAATTTATGATGTGGTTTATACGCTTTTACATTTAACCCTGAAATTATTCCTAATAGGCATATGTTTATCTAAACTTCCTTATATATCAATGGAAAGGGCATGAAATAAGCTTTAAAATTCTTTTCAAAATGTTTTTTTTTTTTTTTTTTTTTTTTTCGACTTCTTGATGATGTCCTTTATGAAGAAATGGATTTTCTTGAAAATTAGAGAAAAAAAAAACAATAAAAAAAAACATCGAAAATCGATTAATTCTCTGGGCAAAATTGTAGAGAATGATAAACTGAGTATAAATATATTTTGTTATTCTCGAAAGTACAAATATTGAAAGTTTTAGAGTTTTTAGAAATTTCACATTTTTGATGTTATGACACCTACTAGGAATTCGTTACATAATTGCATTTCATTGCGGTTAGAGAGAAATAAGTGAAATGTGGAATTTAAGTTAAGTGTATTTGTTATCTTTGAAACTGCAAATGTATTGATTATGAAACTCTAAAAGTAAACCCTAGCCATTTGCAATTATGAATGCTATATGTTACATGTGGTGGAATATTTCTTGTATAAGTATTAAAATGTTATTTTTGTATAACTTACAATTAATATTTAGTTACCAATTTATGGTTAAAGTTGCATTATTTAGTAAAATATAATTGCATTTTGTAACGAAAGTGCGGTTAGAAATATGTTAAAAAGTGAAATGTGGATATTTTTGAGTGTTGTTATCTTTGAACTTACAATTATTGATTATTGAAACTCTAAAATATTAGAGAATTTATAAGTGAATGTTACATGTGGTTATGTCTATTTGTTATCAATTTGAAACTGGTAAATTTGTATTCCTAATGTATTATATATGAAAATCTAAAAGTTTAGCCATTATGAATGGTTACATGTGGTATGTCTTGTATGTGGAATATTTTACCAGTTACGTATTACTAAAGTTTGCGATAAGTATTATGCGTCCAATGTTACAAATGGTGCATGTTTAGTGTTGTATAACTTACAATTATATCTGTTAGGGTTAGGATTAGGATTAGGGTTCGGGATGGGGTTAGGTTAAGGATTATCAACACTTGCCATTTTCGTAACGAAAGTTTGCAATTTTGTAACGAAAATTTTGCAAGTGTACGAAAGTTTGCAATTTTGTAACGAAAGTGTGCAATAGTGTAACATAATCGTGCAATAATGTAACTTTAATGTGTGCAATTATGTAACGAGCAATTTTGTAACGAAAGCTGGACATGTTTTTGATTTTTTTTTTTTTCATTTTGAACCATTATAACACAGCTAAAGTTCATCGAAAATGCTGTCGTTTCGTCTAATCCGGATTCTTTATAGCTTAATAGTTATTCGACTGCAAAAATCGAATTCGTTACATAATGCACCTCAAAATTGTTAGATCAATTACATTTTTCTTTTGAAAAACGTAATGTACCAATTTATGATGTGGTTTATACGCTTTTACATTTAACCCTGAAATTATTCCTAATAGGCATATGTTTATCTAAACTTCCTTATATATCAATGGAAAGGGCATGAAATAAGCTTTAAAATTCTTTTCAAAATGTTTTTTTTTTTTCGACTTCTTGATGATGTCCTTTATGAAGAAATGGATTTTCTTGAAAATTAGAGAAAAAAAAATAAAAAAACATCGAAAATCGATTAATTCTCTGGGCAAAATTGTAGAGAATGATAAACTGAGTATAAATATATTTTGTTATTCTCGAAAACATTGAAAGTTTTAGAGGTTTTTGAAATTTCACATTTTTGATGTTATGACACCTACAAGGAATTCGTTACATAATTGCAACTTGCGGTTAGAGAGAAATAAAAATTTTGTTATTCTCGAAATTTGTTATCTTTGAAACTGCAAATGTATTGATTATGAAACTCTAAAAGTAAACCCTAGCCATTTGCAATTATTTAGAGAATTTGAGTATGTTATGACACCTATATACATTTTTGGTTAAAGACAAATATTGAAAGTTTTTAAATTTGTGTGTGAAATTTCAATTTAATGTGTATGACACCTTTGTTAAAAGTTATAGTGTAACTAGGAATTAATATTAATGTGTTACAATAATTGCATTTCATTGCGGTTAGAGAGAAAAAAGTGAAATGTGGAATTTAAGTTTTCAGTGTATTTGTTATCTTTGAAACTGCAAATGTATCTCTAAAAGTTTATTAGTTCTTTAAAATGTTAAAATGTGCCATTTGCAATTATGAATGCTATATGTTACATGTGGTATTTTTGTCTTGTATGTGGAATATTTTAAATGTGGAATTTAAGTTAAGTGGTACGTATTACTAGCGATAAGTATTATGCGTCCAATGTTACAAATGGTGCATGTTTAGTGTTGTATAATATTTTACCAGTGGTACGTATTACAAGCGATAGTATTATGCGTCCAATGTTACAAATGGTGCATGTTTAGTGTTGTATATCTTACATATCTGTTAGGGTTAGGGTTAGGATTAGGATTAGGGTTCGGGATGGGGTTAGGTTAAGGATTATCAACACTTGCCATTTTCGTAACGAAAGTTTGCAATTTTGTAACGAAAATTTTGCAAGTGTACGAAAGTTTGCAATTTTGTAACGAAAGTGTGCAATAGTGTAACATAATCGTGCAATAATGTAACTTTAATGTGTGCAATTATGTAATGAGCAATTTTGTAACGAAAGCTGGACATGTTTTTGATTTTTTTTTTTTTTTTCATTTTGAACCATTATAACACAGCTAAAGTTCATCGAAAATGCTGTCGTTTCGTCTAATCCGGATTCTTTATAGCTTAATAGTTATTCGACTGCAAAAATCGAATTCGTTACATAATGCACCTCAAAATTGTTAGATCAATTACATTTTTCTTTTGAAAAACGTAATGTACCAATTTATGATGTGGTTTATACGCTTTTACATTTAACCCTGAAATTATTCCTAATAGGCATATGTTTATCTAAACTTCCTTATATATCAATGGAAAGGGCATGAAATAAGCTTTAAAATTCTTTTCAAAATGTTTTTTTTTTTTTTTTTTTTTCGACTTCTTGATGATGTCCTTTATGAAGAAATGGATTTTCTTGAAAATTAGAGAAAAAAAAAAAAAAAAAATAAAAAAACATCGAAAATCGATTAATTCTCTGGGCAAAATTGTAGAGAATGATAAACTGAGTATAAATATATTTTGTTATTCTCGAAAGTACAAATATTGAAAGTTTTAGAGTTTTTAGAAATTTCACATTTTTGATGTTATGACACCTACTAGGAATTCGTTACATAATTGCATTTCATTGCGGTTAGAGAGAAATAAGTGAAATGTGGAATTTAAGTTAAGTGTATTTGTTATCTTTGAAACTGCAAATGTATTGATTATGAAACTCTAAAAGTAAACCCTAGCCATTTGCACTGACGATGACCTCTCTCTCCATCCCGGAGAGACGGAGGCATTTGAGGGGTGTGATGATTTCTTTCCGGGACCCCTTCCCGATTTGAGTTCGGGTCTAAGCGACTCTGTCGCTTGTGCAAGTGATAAGGACTCTGCACAGCCGCAGTCACCGAACGTTGTTCGGAATGACAAATATGGCGGCGTCGGAGGCGATGCCCCGACTGTTCCTTTGCCCCGTGGGGGTAAGAAACGTCCTGTCTGCACTGAGGCTGCCGCTGGTAGCGAGTTTCAACTCATGGCGAAACGTATGAGGGCTCTGGAGGAGCAGTTAGCAGACGTTAAGCGGGACCGGGCGAGTACAGGAAACCAAACGGCTGGTGGGTATGGCAATGATTATGTTGTTGACAGTTTTGACTCAGATTTTTTTAGTATGACGGACCCGTTGGGTCTTCAAGATACAGAACAATCTTCCATTGAGTTAGATGATATATATTCTGATATTTTACCCACAGAGGAAAGTCATATGGAGGACTTGTTCGCCATCCCTGACTATATATATGGTGATGTAAAGTTGGGCCCTAGTGTTCACGAGGGACTTGCCAAACTGGTAAATACTGCGTGTAGGAAAACGTCGGACGTTTCTAAAATGGCAGAAAAATACCCTGTACCGGCAAATTGTGCCGATATGACCGTCCCACGATGTAACCCTGAGATTTGGGGTAAACTTGGTAAGCCTTTACAGGCAAGAGATTTTCAACTTAAAGAGGCCCAGAAGTCGGTGTCTGACGGTATGGTACCTGTGATGAGGCTGACTGAGGCTCTTATGAGTCATCCAGACTTTCGAGAGAAGTTCAGGCCTCTGTGTATTGATGCTCTGTCCATGCTAGGGAATGCAGTACATACATTGTCTGTGAAACGTAGGTTTCTTATGAGACAAGCCCTCCCGTCATCATATCATGCCTTATGTGGGAAAGACATGCCAATAACTTCAAATCTATTTGGGGATGATCTTGCAAGGAAGGTGACAGACATTTCTGAGGCTAATAAGGCTTTCAATGTTTTGTCTTCACGAAAACAGGTACAGCGAGGAGGCTGGAGTGGCGGCCAGAGAGGGCGAGGGGGCTATAGCCAGTACAGAGGCTCAGCAAGGCCTTTTTTACGGTCGGGCCAGCGGGGCCGGGGACAACGGCGACCCGCATACATGCAGCAAAGTCAAAGCCAGAGCCAGACACAGAAAAAAGAATAGCCCCTAAGGTGGGTGTTCCATCTGGTAGAATCGGAGAGCGTGTAGAATTTTGGAAATCATTGACTGATGATGAATGGATTTTGGATACTGTGCGTGGTCTTACACTTGAGTTTGTAGAAATCCCTGTGCAACATAAATTGCCAGGACCAGTAGCTTTTAGTAAGGAAGAGATGGAGATTGTTGATTCTGAGGTGAATGATTTAGTATCCAAAGGGGCAATAACTCAGTCTATTCATGAGAAAGGTGAATTTGTTTCTAATTTGTTCCTGGTCCAAAAGAAAAATAGTAAATTTAGGCCAGTCATTAATTTGAGGAAGTTGAACGAGTTTGTGGTGTACCACCATTTTAAGCAGGAGACCTTAGATGTTGTACTAGAATCTGTAGAGAGAGGTGATTTCTTCACTTCTATTGATCTGAAGGATGCATATTTCAGTATACCAGTGAACAAACATCATAGGAAATACCTGAAATTCAAATGGAGAGGTATACTATATGAGTTTATGGCTATGCCTTTCGGTTTGACAAGTGCCCCTCGGATATTTACCAAAGTACTGAAGCCAATTATGGCTAAAGTTCGCAGCTTGGGTATCCATGCTTTCTATTACATAGATGACTCTTTGGTCAAGGCTGCTGACAGAGAGGTTTGTGAAAGGAATTGTAGGGTGTTAGCTGGAGTTTTGGAATCTGCTGGGTTCCAGATTAGTTCCGAAAAATCTTTGTTTTCTGCTAGTCAAATGGTCATTCATCTTGGGTACTTGATAGATTCTATCACATTTACCGTTTCGTTACCAGAACAAAAGGTGAAGAAAATCATAGATGCATGTTCCCATGTCTTAGGTCAAGAGTCAATTTCTCTAAGGGAACTTGCTAGTCTCATTGGCTTGTTTACGTCATCTCTTAGAGCAGTTCGGCTGTCAGGACTATTTTACAGATTGGTAGACAAGGAAAAGACAGCAGCCCTACATAATGGTTTGTCTTATGACGACAAGGTCAGTTTGTCTAGGTTGGCACAAACGGAGATAGTATGGTGGAGAGATAAGGTGAACAGTATGAATGGTCGGGCGATAAGACCAAGTGATCCAGATGTGATTATGGAAACTGATGCATCTGGTGATGGATGGGGAGCAAAGTTTGGCTCTCAGATAACAAAAGGTCTTTGGTCAAAAGCAGAACGTGAACATCACATAATTTTTTTGGAATTAAAAGCTGTCTGGTTGGCATTACGATGTTTTTGTTCAGACATGTCTGATACTCATGTCAGGGTTGTGACGGATAACGTCTGTACAATTTCATATGTTAATAAGCCTGGTGGAAATGTAACAGAGCTGAATGAGTTAGCAAAAGAGATATGGCTGTGGTGTACGGACAGAAATATTTTCATTTCTGCCTGCCACATACCGGGTGTTTTGAATGTTGATGCTGATTACTTGTCACGGTCAATGCAGTCTTCGGGAGAGTGGTCACTACACCCTCTGATATTTGACAGGATATGTGGTCATTTCTTCAATCCAGATGTTGACCTATTTGCAAGTAGGTTGAATTTTAAGGTTACCAAGTTTGTCTCGTGGTATCCTGATCCAGATGCTTGGTTTTATGATGCCTTTTCTATGTCATGGTCAGACTACTTACCGTATATTTTTGCTCCTTTCAGTCTGATCAGCCGTGTTCTGCACAAAGTGAAGGAAGACAAAGTAAGTATGGCAATAGTAATCGTTCCCTTATGGAGAAGTCAAGCGTGGCTACCTACTCTATTAAATATTGTTGTGGATGCGCCCGCACGCCTGCCGAGGTGGCGAGACTTGCTATTGTCCCCACAGGGGGAGCTGCATCCCTTAAGAAACAGCCTGAGACTGATCGCATGTTGCGTGTCAGGAGATCTCTCCAGAAGCAGGGCTTTTCACGACAGGCTGCCACACTTGTCTTCTCCTCCTGGAAACAGTCCACGTCCAAGCAGTATGACTTGGCATGGAATAACTGGGTCTCTTGGTGTGGTGAACGACAGGTTGGTGCCAATCATCCCACTATCAAGGAAGTGATTTCCTACCTCACTCATTTGTTTAATGTAGGGAAATCTTACAGTGTTATTAATACACATAAGTGTATGTTGTCCCAGACTTTGCCATTACTAGGCCATACAGTATTGATGAACAATACCCTAATTTCGAGGTTTATGAAGGGGGTATTCAACACTAATCCTCCTAAGCCCAGGTATTCATCGACATGGGATGTGGCACCTTTGCTGAAGTATTTGGGTGATATGTTCCCTTTGACAGCCCTGGAGGTGGACTCATTGACTAGGAAATTAGTTTGTTTGATAGCACTTACAACAGCACAAAGAGCACAAACATTGGTTAATTTAGACCTTGAACATATGCAGGATTTTGGACACTATATTGTTTTTACAGTCCCAGAACTTATGAAAACATCCAAGCCATCAAAGCCATTTTATAAAGTAACATTGTACAAATATTCTCAGGAAAGATTATGTGTAGTTTCAACCTTAAGATATTATGTGTCACAGACAGTAAACATACGGAAGAGTAATAAACTTTTAGTTTCTTTCAGAAGAGGTTTGCAAGTGTCCACTTCCACAGTGGCAAGATGGGTGAGAGAAGTGATGATGGCGGCTGGAATTGATCGACAGTTTAAACCTCATTCAGTTAGAGGAGCGTCTGTGTCGGCAGCATACACGGCGGGGACATCCTTGAGGGACATACTGGAAACGGCAAACTGGGCATCAGCCGAGAGCTTTAGGAGGTTCTACTTAAGAGATATTGATGACCCGGGTTCCTTTTCAACCAGTGTTCTGCAGACAGGGCAGTGATAAGATGTCAATGATATAGACTTTGTGAAATGTAGTGTAATTTTGAAATACTAATGAATGAGTGAACTTGAGTTGCAGTTTGGTTTTCTTTTTCATGGTTATCTGGAATGTTGGCGGATTCTTTGAAGGTGCATATTATTTAACTAGTAAGCCGTAGGGCTGAATGGAAGAGAATCTCCCCCTCATCCAAGTATCACGATGGATGAGAGGGATTCTCTGTAATGAAGCCCGGAGGCTGGAGAGTTAAATAACCTCCCAAGTCTCTGGGTTTCTATTTCTGCTGTTTAGTTTTGGATCTCCCACCCTATAGTTGCATACAATCTGCCAACATTTCTCTTTGAAATAAGCGTGTGTCTAGGCTTGGTTATGTCTTTTTATATGGTGACCTCTCACATGGGTCAGGCACGTGCAATGCAATATCGATAAGATAATTTTCAAGTTTGAACTTCAGTGTCGCGCACCCAACAGGTTGACAAGTGCATATTATTTAACTCTCCAGCCTCCGGGCTTCATTACAGAGAATCCCTCTCATCCATCGTGATACTTGGATGAGGGGGAGATTTAAGATGTTAAGCATTTGTCTTTTACCTTTAAGTTCGTTTGTTGTCCTTATTTGGATCGCTCTGTGTTTTACCGGTTGATAGCCCTAATGACCTTGTGTTGACGGACCGTTAAGAATGTCATAATAATAATAATGATAGCTAGTAAGCTACTTCGATTTCCGGCGCCGAATGGAAGCTTTAGTCGTTTGCTCTCCAGATAATTGAGAACGATTTTGGCAAGTAGCAGAAATTAAGTATAATAATGTGTTAACAACATTTAGTTGTGTTGCTGTAATAAAGCAGTATATAGGAATCTGGGATTATTATCATATACTCGGCGTCAATGAAAACGCAACACCGTTAAATTACTGTCAAAATTTACCAGTTATAGTTTTGAATACAATATTTGATAAAATACCTAAAAGTTGATTATGTCCATAACAAAATGCACTCAATGCAATCAGCACTACATCATGGGAATACTTTGATTTCCGGTGACTAATGTCCATACCCCCTAAATCAAAATTAGCACGGTCAATATCTAATGTGGCCACCATTTGCAGCGACACAAGCGCGGCATCTTCGAGGCATTGACCGAATAAGGCGTTGAATTTTGATTTGAGGAACGTTCCTCCACTCTTCCTGAAGAGCGATTTCAAGCTGCCGACGCGTCTGGGGCTGTCGTGGTCGCTCTCTCACAGCCCTACCCAATTGGCCCCAAAGATGCTCGATCGGACTAAGATCCGGGGAAAACGCGGGCCACGGAAGGGTTGCGATGTTCTGATGTTGAAGGTAGTCTGTAGTGATACGAGCGGTATGTGGTCGTGCATTGTCCTGTTGTAATAACGCTACGTTTGGGTGTCCAGCAAAGAATGGAACAACAGCAGGAGTTAAGACCTCGTTGATGTAGCGCTGTGCTGTTAGATTGCCGTCAATAATTACTAGAGGGGTACGGTATGCAAAAGAGATACCTCCCCACACCATCACACTGCCCCCGCCCCACCTATCCGTTTCTGTAGTCCAAAAACCTTTCACCTCGACGTCGCCACACTCGAATTCTATCGTCATTTCCTCTGATGCGGAATCTCGATTCGTCGGTGAACAGGACGCCAGCCCACCGACGTTGGGTCCATCCTCGGCGCTGTCTTGTCCAATTTAGACGATTTTGACGGCGAATTAGAGTCATTTCGTTTCCTCTAAATGGACGGCGCGACGCCAATCCGGCTGTGCGAAGGCGACGGCTCACAGTACTAGCTGACAAACGTCTGCCATGACTTCCTATCGTCTGTCTAGCCGTTCTTGTCGCGGTTTGAAAACGATCTCGCAGGTGACTTAGTCGAATGTAACGGTCCTGGTTTGGCGTCGTCACTCTCTGTCGCCCCGGACGAGGTCGATCTCTCACGGATCCGGTTTGTCGCACTCGTTCTGCCAGTCGATTGATTGTGGAAGCAGAACAACCCATTCTCCTGGCAACTTCCCTCTGAGAAAGCCCTCCTGCCAGCATACCCCGAGCTTCGTGTCTTTCATTGTCTGTCAGTCGAGGCATTTGTAGCAAATAATGATGACAATTTAAAAAATTGATGACGGAAAAATGTCTGCCTGTAACTACAGTGTTCACTAGTAGTGACTGAGCAAGGATATAACGCACTTTAGAGCGCCGACGTGCAAACTCATGCTTTTACGACAATGTCCTGTGGTACGACAAGGAGTTGATATTACTCGACCATTATTTCGTTAGTTTTGTGCATTGTGTTGTGGCTAATTACAGCAGAATAAGAATCTAATCCTTGTTGTGAAGAATATATTATGTCCAAAATTTTAGTGTTGCGTTTTCATTGGCGCCGAGTATATATTATATTAACTATAACAGTCAAATATTGCGATATGAAACTGGACGTGTGTGATGCTAGTCAGTTGTTTGCTTGTTGGTAAACTCAAGATGGTGTATACCTTGTTCTTATTTGAGAACTTAGCTGTAGTGACCCAAGGTTTACATGGCGGGTGACAAAGATGAAGTAGAAGACGCTTACTCTTCCAGAACACCAGGCCTAGGGATTATGAAACAATTAAACTTCAAATTTTGCTCAGCCAATCGCAAATGACGTCTCTTAACATGACGTTATCAGCAATTGGTTAAGTCAGACAGTTTTAGACATGAGACTGTTACACGATCCTGTGACCTGGTCGTATTTTTGTAATATCTTTTCAGACGGTTCTGTGTAAATCTTTCTTTTGTTCATATTGTGTCTCAGTTTTATTGAATTTGAGTTTGGATTACAATTATGTTGACATGTCGGTGTTTGTTGTTGTTGTTGTTGTTTTTGTTGCACCAAACTGACATCTGGTGAAGACATTAACGACACAATGGTTTATATGTTATTTCCCCGGAGAACGTCACATTGCTACAGATTTTATCGTTTATTGTCTTTCAATTTTACGAAATGTGTTGAATAAAAAGATGTGCATACACCGCTATATTTGGATACATTGAGAACACGTGACTTTCTATTCAATTTATTGATATTTTTGAAAATGTATCCTTATCTGAAAACATCGACGATGTAAATTTTTGGATTTTTTTCTGTATTGACTACATATTTATTGAAAAGTCAGCTTACCCTAAGTATGCTACCATTTTAAATACACGACATTTACAGGTTTATATTTAATTTGTCTGACGTACAGCAGCAGAGAAAAAAAAACATTCATTTCCTGTTGTATCTATAATTTTGTAAAAAAAAAAAAAAAAAAAAAGTGATAACACACACATTAGAAAATGTTCGTGATGGAACAATGGCGTATTTTAAATTTCTGCTTTGCCTTTCACAGCAGGACTTAGTGTAAGACTAGAGTCAACCTGTGTATTATTTCATTAACACCATCATCATATAATATGCTTGCGGAATCCTTCCTTTTTGTCTTATGTCGATAAGTATTGGCGACCTGTAAAAAATAGAATAACAAATTTGTTTGAAAACAGCGAATGAAATGTAATTAATGTTAACACAGTGATAGGGTCACATGATTAAAAGTTCAGGAATGTCTTAAAAAGCGAGAAATGTTATCAGATTTTTGTTACGGGTTTTATGTCGTCTTAAACCGGGCGATATATTATTATCGGTAAAAAGTATGAAAACGACATTCAATTATCCAGACGAATAAATACATGTTTTTTTAAGAAACGTACAAAGTTATGTTAGTCGTCAATTTGATCTATATCGAACTGCGTTGCAATGGATCGCAATTTTTCATTTTATGTTGTCAAGAAAGATTAGTCATAAACGCGTGCGGCTTATTACGATGTATAACGGTACTGGAACCTGAAATATCAACTTTGTGATTTTTCATGAAAACAAAATTCTCGATATTTTTTCCAGGTGTTTATTTTTCAGCGATAATGGCCATACAATAATTCAACATAGCCAAATGCATTACATAAGCCAGCGTTATAAAGAGTGATATTCTTTCAGAGCAACTATTCATCTTTCCAGTGTTCATGATTGTTTTGTTCAGCCTCGTTTTTTATCTTCAAACCATCTTTTTGAAATTTTGGGTTTCTGTTTATGTTTACATTGCCATTCATTCGAAAAATTGGTTGTTTTTGTTATTATTATTATCATCATATAATCATATGTACACTATGAAACTTATTTAATTATGATGCTAGTGGTTAGATTTGATATTCTTATCCTATAAAGTTTGATTATCCTCAATCGCCTGCTTGGTTTCAAACTTTAAGCCTATAAAATTCCTAATGAATCCTAGAATGTCGAAACAGCTGTATAATGCAGTTAAATTCATAATCTGCCTCTACAGTATCTAATTCTAATTTTTTAACAAAAGGTGTTATTTATTTTGTGTGTTTTGTTAACTTTAAATTTAATATGAGCGATGTTTGGAAATAAACAACAATATAAATAACATCAGTCGACACCTACCCTGAAAATAATTAAACGTTGGTACATCTGATTGAGTTCGGGTATACATATCGTACTCCCGTAGTTTACTCCAAGGCTCTCTTCGATAAACACACTGACATATTTTTGCGAACGATCAACAAAGTTCTGAAACAGAAACAATATATATACTTTTATAGACAGTGCTGAATGATATTAACCGAATACATTTCTCGGATACAATAATATAATACGTGGAATCAATTCGGATTAAAAGAAATAGTTGTTACATAATGTCAGTATTTTCATAAATTTTTCCCAGCGAGTCCAAAACACCATTTTGAAAATTTCGTTAGTCCAATGTTACTACTAAATAGTTCATTATATATTCGAAGTGTAAGATTTTTTTTAATATTGAAATAGATTTTAAAGAACATTTCAAATTCATTTGATTTCTTTTTGTTCTTGAGATATAAATTCCTTAACATAGTCCTAAATTTGGTTTTGGAATCCACGCCGAGACCGGGTACGGCCAAATCCCTGTGTATAAGACCAGCTAAGC